AAGGTTGAAATGAGATCTTCTTGAAACAAGGTTAGAGGCGTCGGACGAATCAGTTTCTTCTAATTCTAATGATAGATGGATTGTTTTGTATATATAGTAGCCTAGCCTAGTTAGCTAATTTGAGACATTTCTATAATTTCAATAAATTTGAGACTTGCTTAAGATAGATGAGGTGCTCTTAATCACCCATCACACCCCTAGTTAGGTTGTGACATAGTATTTATACTTTAATAATTTTAGTCATCTTCATCATGTATTTATTCAGTGTAGAGTTATTTTTATTAAAATCACCAAGGATTGGTGGAGGGTTTGACATGATCTCAACCCGTATATATTGTATAAGAAGTTGAAGTTTGAGTCCAAATCTACGAAAAAAGGTTTAAAATGCCTCCAATCAAGTCAATATGGTTTACTATCGCCTTTGTTTACCTATTGGTTCACCAATGCCTCTACCTTTCTATGGCCTCATATATATTTGCCTTTGTAACAAACCCAAGATCTATTATAAAAAATAAATCTGTGACACTCAAATTTATCTTCAGTACACTAGTACTAGAATTTGTTCAGCATAGTTAGGTACCAATTAATATGAACCAAAATTATATTATTGTACTACGTACATTACCCCTGTAAAGAGCCTTTTGAATGCTGACAAAATTAATGCAATGTCCTTTGCCCTAAAATTTCAGACACAAAATCCTTTTTTTTAAATCTCAAAAAAAAAAAACTAGGACAAAATTGAGGTTTGACAAAATAAAATGGCTGAAAAACTGATATTTATTAGAATAAAAATAAATTCTTACTTTCTTTATCTTAATTTATGTGATATATTTTTATTTTTAATCCATTCAAAAAAGAATGTAACATTCTGATCTATAATCACACAAATGATCAACAAGTGTTTAGACCACAAATTTCATAAGACTTCTTTTCTTACTTGAACTTTGTGTCAAGTAAAACGATGGCATGTAAATTGAGACGAATAAAAGTATAACCCAAAAACGAACTTATAGTTACAGCTCCATCCAAAGCTTTGCGCAGTTGAGTTATAGACACAAAGTTGGGAGCAGTGTCTAAAAAATCTATGGGCGGAGTTAGGAATATCGGTGGAACTTAATTAGTTTGATTCAAATTATATATATATATATATATATATATATATATATATATATAGAGAATTCATTGCAAATACACACAGAGGCGAATTTATATATTAAATTTGGGTCAGCGAAATCTATGGTCATCCAACTAAACTCGATATATTACTTCTATAATTATTAAAGAATATATTAAATATCAGCTGGTGGAACCCATTCTCAAAATGGGTAAATGGTTCACTCGTTTGAGGGCCTATTTTTAGCAGTAAGGTCTCCATTCCGATCCCCGCCATCACCATTATTTCACTTCAAAAAATTTATATTAATTAAAACACTTTTTTTAAAAAAACCTAAACTCTAAAAGCTCTAAAGTCAAAAAACTCAAAAGGTTTTCATCTCACCCACTTTTCAAGTTCCAACTAGACTGTCTTTAAAGCAATGGTGCACCCATTTTTTTGAAATTCTGAATTCACTTATGAATACCCATACCTATAATAAACTTCAAATTCACGAACCACCTCCGTAAAAGTTTATATTATAGCTACATCTATCTAACATTAAAGGAATGTTGCAAGTTCAAGAGTTATATAGTTAATTATTATATTTTTACCGATAAGGGTTGTGGTGGAGTGATACGTATTCCTTCATTTTTAACTAGATGTCTCGGGTTCAAGTCCCCCTTGGGTACGAAGTCGCCTTTGTTATTGAGCGTTTTACCCCCTCAATGTGAGACTTCTCGGCGCGAATTCAAATTTAGTCAAACTCTAGTATAGATAATATTGAACATCAGATAGACAACCAAAAAAATATCATTATATGTTTCAATTAATTATCTTCACTTTGTTTTCCACATTTATATATTTCTTTCTATAAGGGAGAGAAGACATAAAGTGACACATGAAGTTATCCCGAATTTTCAAAAAGACATCTTAACTATGTGGATATCCTATTACCCCCCTAAACAATCTTGAACTAAAATTATTATATCATTTTTTGTCCACCTAGCATAAGAAGTGTATGCACTCTCTTTAAAGAACGTGAGCAACTAAAATAAAAATTTCCACCGAACCAATTCACTAGAAAAATGCATGGTGAAGACAATTTCCATTGAAATACTGGACATTTTTCTTTCACTGATTCAATCAAAATATCTGTAAAAACAGCAACTGAACATTAAACTTCAGTGAGAAAATAACAATTTATTAGTAGTGTATATATGCAAAGTAGGAATAAAGTTATATATACATTATCTTTTTTAAACTTTATTTGTGAGAATACATCGAATATATTATTGTCGTTATTGTGATGAATAGTTGAGGTGGTCCAATACATACTTATGTTAATGCATGCACTATTCTATTTGAGTGACCCTTTCCCAGTGGATATGGTCACTAGATCTAAAATCTAGAACCATCCTATGCACTATTTTAATTTTAGGAAAATTATTGCTATTAGGACCACTTTTTTTTCATTGAATATATATGACCTTTGAAAACCTCAGGTGTTTGGCCAAAAATAGGATTAAAGAAAATCATAGATTCCTAATGCCATAAATAACCATCTTTCTTTCTCATTTTATTAATTAATTTATCACACATGTCCTCTAAAGGACTTTATTTTCCCCTAATTAGCAAGTTTATTGGATATATTAAAGTAGAAATTAACTTGTACCACACTTTTTCGTTAAATGTAGCTATCTTAAAGCCAAAAATAGACTTAAAGTGGGGAAAAGAGAATTATTACTAATAGATCATCGATTTTTTTTCTAGTGGCATCTCGTTGATTTCGTAATATTATTGTAAAACTAATTAATGAAAACAAATTAGTGTCTAATCACTTTTATGTTGTTATTCTAATAGATCTAGGGGTGTTTATCTTCTTTTTTATTGCGTACTTAGCTTGAATCATGTCTATGGATGTTATATTTAATTTTACAAATCCTCATCCTTTATCAATCGTACAATGGATAAACATTAAATTTTGAATTCATAATTTCAAACACTCGTGGACAGGATTCAATGGTAAAAACATAAATCTTTATGAAATTCAAAATTCTCTGTGTCTACATCCTTACCTAAAACCCTTCCATATATCACGTTGTGTTTGTGAATTGTGGGTGGTGAGCCTCAAAGTAACAAATCTCACTTATTTCTCATAATGTCTTTAACCATTATTATATATATGAATGTGACCCTTCCACTTGAGAAAGTCCTAGCTCATTATGAGAGAGTCCCACTCCATTTATAACCAATTGTTTAATAGACAAATCGTATGTATGTATGTATGTATGTATGTATGTATGTTTATATGTATGTATGTATGTATGTATGTATGTATGTATGTATGTATGTATGTATGTATGTATGTATGTATGTATGTATGTATGTATGTATGTATGTATGTATGTATGTATGTATGTATGTATGTATGTATGTATGTATGTATGTATGTATGTATGTATGTATGTATGTATGTATGTATGTATGTATGTATGTATGTATGTATGTATGTATGTATGTATGTATGTATGTATGTTTAACCAAGAAAAAAAAGAGCCCAACTAGCTAGATCTTATCATTACTCCTAGTTCCTTCGTTTCAGTTTAAAAAATAAAGACACATTTCTAAATTTAGCTATACACTTTCCAATCTTATTTTTGATGAGAAACTTTTATAACTACACAAATATTATGGCATGTTTGCTTCTATAAGTTTGAAAAGTCTTAAAACTACACAAATATTATGAAATACTCAGATTAAGATCACGAATTTCAAAAATCTTTACTTCTTTCTGTCTATTCAACCTATGTCACATAGATTGGAAGCTTAAGTAGGGAATATCTTTCACATAGAAAATCAACATCAAAATGTTGTAACGTTCTCCCAAAACTATTGCCAACCATTGAAAATGAAAAGCACAATTCTTGTTCTTGATAAACTTCTCCTAACTCTTCATATTGAAAACAACTTGTACTTATAAACGCCATTCTTCCTATTTAAACCATCAGGCACGCAGTTTAGATCATACCTAACCAAAAACACTCCTCATTATTCTATCATCTCTGAACTCCACACACGTTTAAGATTTTAAGATAAAAACGCGTTTGGAAGAATAATTCAGAGTTGTAGGTGAGTCACCTTAATTAAGTAAGTAAATGGAGTCTCAAAATAAGTATATGAATCAAAGAAGAGGATCAAAGCACAAGAAGTCACGTGGAGAGAAAAGTGTTGAGCAAAACAACAGCACTTCATCATCATCATTGTGGGTGGTGGTAGCTTATTCATTCATTTTGAGAAAGGCTAAAGCATTTTATGAGTGGATTTGTAGCAATGGCAACTACGACGAGGTACCTCTGACTGATCCTTACTTCTCCGTCCCTGTCCTTCCTCCAACCACTACAAATTAAGCTTAGCTCGATTCAGTATGTAATTTAACTTGTTATAACAAGTTATCGTTCTTTATTGTTACTATGACCTAATAGTGTAAGAATTCTTATAAACTCATGTTTACATATGTTTAAAGTACTCTTAAGTAGTATTGGCTATGTTTGTTGTGTAAAGTATGTACCTTGTCAAGATTCTTCTTGAAAATTTGGAGATTTGTTCTGAATTGAGACATTATTAATGGATTTATAGATTGATTTAGACATCTAGATATATGTTAACAAGATCGGAGTGTATTTCAATTAAGTTAGTCAAATAAAGAAGTATTTAGCTATTAATAGTTTGGAGATGAAACTAATAATTTGTGCTAAATTCTGGGGGGTATTATACTTTCTCACAATGATTTATTATGTATTATTAAGAGAAGAAGCCATTTCAATGCAATCAGCTAAGTGAATCTGAAAATAATATACCTCTACCAAAACTCATAATGATAAACTAAATAAAATATACTTATGTCTCATTTAAATGAAACCAAAATTTCATTCTCCAAGCACTAGTCAAAGTAGTTGACATTGTCCGTTCAAAAACGGCTCAAAAGTTACAAAATAATTGCAGGTTCAAATAACTCTTTTAACCACCAGACAATAATGATAAAGACATAAAAAAAAAAAAGTCAATGATAATGGTAACAACATAGCTACTGAATTATTTCAAATTCAGCACCAATTGGGAGATGATCACTAGGATGATAGTAATTTGGTAGACCACCTTGAACATCCGATGCTTCGGGCTCCGGAAGTTCGAGGTAGCTGACTGGTTTGATACCCCCAGAAGGAGAAAACAGTATGTAATCTAGAGTTCCAGTAAATCCAGGAGTGTAGTTTGTGAAGTGTGGTTCTCCTCTAGTACTTGCATAAGCACTGCACAAAGGAATGGGCACATCATCTGAGATTTCGGGCAAAGTTCCCGCTTCTGAGGAACCTGACATAAGGTACTGATATACCTGAAACAACGAGAAACAAAGCCAAGTTACTAAACACACCAATGAAGTGTAAAGAATAAAGTGAGGAAAACACGCGCACGTTAAGAAGAAATAATAATCAAGGGCACCACAGGCTAATTTGTCTTCTAACATCATTTCATCAAGAAAATAGACGCAGACCTTGAATAATCGTCAAAGAAATTAACAAAATGCTGAAACCCAAAAATTGAACCCCTACTCTAGTAAGACCCCAAATATCAGAGTAAACCGAAAATGGGATTCTGCTCGACCACTAAGACAACAATAAAATATAGATTGGTTGTGTACCGCAAGTTGACATAATAATGGACTAATAGTCCGATGTAGACAAGTATGACAACGGGTACCAACTTCTAAAATCTAGGTAAGTTAGGATGCTTCAATCATCTATGAATTAGTATGGAGAGCCAGAAGCTACAAAAATTGCAATATGGAATCTCACATTGGTTGAGAGTGGGTTAGTGTCCCCTTATATGGTCTAGGGATCCTCATTTCATGAGCTAGTTTGGAGTTGATTTTGGCCTGAGATTTATTTTTATTAATATGGTGTAAGAGGTGATCCATCTCTCCTGTTATGTTTCTTAATGTTGGGCTCCTATGGTATGCTATCCACACTCCAATATGTCCATGCCTGGCATAAGATGGGTGTTGGAGTGTCCCAAATTGTTGATCCATATTGGCTTCAGATATCCTCACTTAATGAATTAGCTTTCGAGGTTGAGTTAAACCCTAAGTACATTTGTCTTAATTGGAATAATGAATCCTACTAGAAATATGAGGAAATCAAATAAAACAAATGCAACTTAGATAGAGTAAGTTGATGTTGTTCAATAGAGCTTGGCCCATAGCAAAGCAAAAGGACCAAATGTTTCAAAAGGTAAAACAAGAGATTAGCTGACCTGACTCCCAGGAAGTGAGTTGAAATCACCAGTAACAACCACAGAAGGCGAGCAATCAAATTTGTCTGATACTAGTAACTTGAATTGAGCTAAGCGAGAAAGCAAGTATCTAGCTTGTGCAAGTTTGACATCGGCCAATTCTGGATCCCTGTGGTATCATTCGTATATGTCAACAGTGTATAGAGTTACCAAATTGAATATCCAGACGTGCTGCAATAACAAAAGTGGACAACAGACATACCAGTAAATGTGAGTGTTGGCCACAATGATAAGATGAGAAGGATCCTTCAGCCTAAAGGCCGCCATAATACCCACACAGTCACGTTTAAATCTAACACAAGGATCATTTAGGTCTCCAAGATTTGCTTGCCTGTTTTTCAAACCGGCATCTGAAATTGGAATGAGAAAGATCACAGTTACCTCATACCATGGTGATAGGATTATGAAGCTTAAAGCATCCATTACCACAAAATTTGTGCATTGAGGAGCAAAGATGAATCCATAACCCATCGTGTCACAACACTTTATTCACCTCCCGAAAATGAGATGTGTAAAAGTCTCCCCCTTTTAAGTTTCAAATTTCAAGTCATTTAATTCTGAAAGAGCTGATTATTTTTTAATATGAAGTTACCTTCAGTGCCTATTGAAAATGCGCTACTGCGTTAGATCCAATATTGGTGCTTTCTTTTACCATGGACATCGTCCCTCGCAAAACCCTCAAGCCAAACTTAAATATGATTTCTTTCCTCACATATTGGTTGTTGCAACCAAAACGTACCTTAACATATGATCCAGCACAAGAGTTATTAACTGTTTCAACTGCAAATGTCAATCCAGGTTTCTGCTACAATATGAAAAGCCTCCCTTATCACTCTGATAACATTTTAACGATACAGTAGAGCTTGCTATGGAAGTTTCTATTTAGTTGATACAGATTGACTTGCTACATTAAATTAGAGGCTGACAATAACAGGTCCTCTTCCAAGCTCCAACAGTATTCAACTTTCAAGAGTACCAACTTCAATTACAATTGTACAAAAATCTTTGGATCTTATCACGATACCACAATTCAAATACTATTCCCCTCTTTCATTATGATTATTAATTAAGTCTTAGTTATAAAATTCACACATACATCAACTGTTTGAAGGAAATTTGCTATAACTGCAGCACTAAACCAACCCACATTCACCCCCAAAAGAAAAGGGTAAAAAAGGATAGGAAGAAGACGAATTGATTTAATTTGAAATTTCATTCGAATTACTTGGAGGTTGGACAGAATTTTTTTAGCAGTTTACTGTATAAAGACATGTTTCCCTGACTCTATATATGACACTTTTAAACCAGACCATGCTCCAATTTTGTAAAGACAAACCCTAGGTGGACAAAAGCAAGAGTATACCACCTTTTGACGCTGACTTTTTATTTCCACCAGCAGGCAAATTCTCCTCTTTATCCTCAGATGAAGTATCGTCTTGATTTGAGGGTACAAGATCATTGTACTCTATCTTCTCTTCAATGACCAACTCTGCACTATAAATAGCATAAAATTTCAGATAAAATGAGTTATGTAGAAATATTTTATTCTGCCTGAAGAAGTTATAGAAACATATCCATCCAAACCATAAGAACTTCTGATATAGAACTGAATTCTCTCAGTCCTTAACTATGCAACGATGTAACTTTAGCATGATAGAAGTAACTTAATCTACTGAATAGGTGGGAGTAAGAGGTTATGATGTGAAATAAAATGTAGTTCTGTGCCGTATTACTCATCTCTTGGATCCCTTGAAGTTGCAAGGATATGACGCCAAAGCTTTATTTAAGCGAACTTATAACTAATCATCTTATTTTTTAGCTAGAAAGTGCATGATCATATCATAGTACTCTCAAACATAATGCATCTATAAGATGACCAGCAAGTCTGCTCAAATAATACAAATAATTTCATCGCTTAGCTTAGCCATTCTTTTAGTTATAGATATATAGGTTAAGGAAAGAAGAGAGAATAGATGGTCACCTATCCTGCTTATAAAAGATCCCGCATCCATCACGCTTCTGCCCACTTCTTTGGACGTAGATACTTGAATAGCCAACACTCTCTATATTTCTTTTATAGAAGCTATCATATTCATCCAATTCCTGGCACATAACATAATCTTGATTAAAATATAACCTAGAAGAAATTAGAAGTTTCTTTCTTCTTCTTTTTTTTTTAGTTTCCCTCCCGGTTTCAGGTATTAACTTTAGGGCCCAACTATTACGGATACGCGTCAGGAAGACCCACTTTCTGGGGTAAAGCGTCCCCTGCCAAAGGCAACCTCATTCCCACTCTCAAACCCGAGACCTCCAGTTTATGATGCCACTCCACCACAACCTTTTGTGGTAGAAGTTGTTATTAGAAGGAAAATGGATGAATGGATATTGCTCAATCTTAAATTATCAAAAAATCCAAACCTGTAAGCAAAGGAAATCAGCCCCGAGGCTCTTGAGAACTGTCAGGATTGCCTGTGAACGGGCTTTCCACCTAACACAACACTTAACAAATGTTGATTCTGAAATTACGAGTAAAAGAAAGAAGTTGAAAACTGTCTCAATGAAGGCTCATTCCACATGGCTTCAAGTCACAATGCTTTGGAAATAAATTTTACATTAGATGCTCTTCAAATACTCGAAGAGAAAATAAGTAAAATTGACTTAAACACAACTATGTATCTTCTATTAACACTAGCTTAGAGAATTACTAAAATCCAATAAAAGTCAAATGCTCCTGACTCCAAGTCTTGAAGCATTTCTCGGACAGTCTTGAAGGCAAGGAATATAATAATAATGTAATGCAACATGAAACAATCATATTGGAATTCCATAAAGGCCTAAGGCATTATAAACAAGTCAATTTGGGTCCACTCAAACATGTAATCAATCGCATTGGACTTTCCAGAGAGAAAAGAAACAATATCCGACAGGCTGTGTATAAGAAATGCAAAAATGAAAATTTGGATATAGATGACGTACTTGAGACAAGGCCCTGGGGAGTGTGGAAACAGATCACCCTTTACATATGCCTACAATTAAAAAATCTCAGAACAACGAAATATCGGCAAACAGAATCCATACAACTCAATAGATTAAATGACTTGAATCTGTAAGAAGAAAAACTAAAACTGACTAACATCTCAGAATACAAGTGTCAAGGTATGAGATAATATCACTTGAATTGTGCTCTATAGTCCTAAAAGACAAATCAAAGGGCATACCAAGCATGTTGGTACACTTGATTAATTAACAGCAAATGTGTGCATCGATAATGGTTTTCCCATCCAGATATGTATGCTCTACTTAACACGATGGTTCAACCACAGGCGAGCGGCCTCAAATTCTTTTTATTAGGATCAGATCTCTCTCTCTCTCTCTCTTCTGACTTTCATTTGTTTGTTTGTCCAAGATGTGACATGTTCACAAAGTTCACAAGAGTACTTTGGCTGATGAATAAATACTTTGTTTATTTAATTTTCAAAGTCAAGATAGACAATTTACAGTGTATTAGCCATATAAGGAAGCTCAATAGTTTAAGAAAGCAGCACTTAACTTCCGTTACTGAAGTATTACTTGCATGCACTTCATAAAAATAATAAAATAAATGAATTGCCTCAAGAAATTTGAACATGGTCGGATTACCTGAGCCAAAATGTTATATGATACCAAACTGAACTTAAAACCTGCAACAATAGACAAAAAGTACAACATTAACTCCAGTTGTACAACAAAAGCATACAAAAACGAAAAAGAAAAGTTAAAATAATCCACTTACCATCTGATTTACTTACTGAAGTAATTCCACTCTTTTCAGCAGGAACAAATTTTGGTGACAGAGGTGCAGGTGTTGTGCTCATTTTGGCGAAATGAATTGTTCTGTAGATATTGTAAACCAAGAAAAGAAGAAGCAAATGAAGTCTCCAATCAAAACTAAAAAGGAGATAATACATAAGAAGCCCCTAGTATTGGCTCCGTTTACAACTTACACAAACTATGGGTGTTTGTATGAACCCCCTGAACTTCCTTTTTCAGTACCTATTACCACCCTCAAGTACCTAGTGATACAAAGAGTGGTGTGTTGTCAACACCTATGTGATGCACGGAGCAAGAAAAAGGTGAAAAACAGCTTATCGTGGCTTTTTTTTTCCAAACAATAACTGTACTTATTCCTCTTTATTTCTCTTTTTTATTTTACTGGGGGGGGGGGGGGGGGAATTTAAACCCGAGA